CGTTCGTACACACGACGTGTGTGGAATCGCTCGTATACTCGTGCTCTTAAAGCACAGTGTAAGTTTTATTTCCTCACAGCTTGGCCCACTTAAAGCATGACATTTTAAGACATGAGCGGTGGTAAACATTTCAGCATCAGGGAGGGCACTGACGGGTTACCATGGCTACGAGACCTGAGACTCAGTGTGGCAATACTGGAATATTTAAACAGGCGCATCTAACGTCGAGCTGTGTCCCAAATCTACACTACAGACTGAGTCTAAGCAGGATTTGAGTACGTCGGGTGTGCACGCTAGAATAATACGCGTGGATACAAAGTGTACTGTTAATGGACACTATTCTCCCACAATGCAATGCACTGAGGACATTAATTGTGGATGGTGAAACAGTACATTGTAGTTTGATTGGACTGCACTAGTATTACATCATTTCCTGCTTGTTGAAACAGTTAAATGTTGATTTCTTGCACACTAACAGCACAACAGGGTACTATAAAGATTAGCATATAGTTCATACTGTATACAGTTAGTATTTAGTATAGAATTGGGACACAGCATTAGTATTTCTCTGGACAGTTTTCAGAAGGTGCACACATATGAAACAACATTTTAGAAGATAAATCTGGTGATATTCTCTATTTTTTCCGCTGTCAATAAATCATTTTAAATCCCCAAAGATCCAAAAACACAATGAATTGACCTTTAAGCATCGTCTGTGCAGTGGTAGCACATTTACACACACTAGCACTACTTACTCCTGTTTCGAGTGACATTCGTTTAAAAACTACAGTTGTTTTGGAAATGATCTTTTTAAAAATTGAAACTATAACTCTGCGAGTCGTTTTTTAAAACATAAACAACTCCAGTGAAGATGAACAGCCACCGACGGGCTGGAGAAGACACAAAGTAGAAAGACTGTATCCGACAGCAGGAAAAAACGTAGAATATTAGCAGATTTATCCTTTATCACAACCTAGTAAAAACAAGTCAAACAACGTCACTTCAGTGGTGGTAAACCTTAAAGTACAGCTACTGTTCCATGTGCTCGGACGCCCACAGACCCACTGCTGTCGGCCCCTCACAGATACACGTCCATAGTGTTGAGGATCATGTGGCGACAGAGTGGGCAGTTCTGCTGGTAGACGGGCTGCCTCAACAGGATGTTCGTACAGTCCCTGCACAGGCAGAGGTGCCTGCACGGCAGCAGCACCACCGTCTTGGAGCAGTCCTGACAGATGACGCACTTCTTCCTGTCCTCCTGCTCCTTCAGCAGAGTCAGCAGATTCTCGGCGGGCAGAGGTTTACCGTCTTTGCCCGAAGACGACTGCTTCTTTAGCGGCCTGTCCATGCTCGACGAGGGGAAAACTAAATCCAGCAGCTCCTGGTGGGCTCCGTCTCCTGCTCTTCCATCTGGTGGGTCCCGCCTCTCCTCTCCGGGGTCACCATCGCCGCGTACTCTGTTGTTGTTGTTGTTGTTTCTGTGGAGATGGGTCCTCACAGCAAGACCTAGCTGGCTGCCAAGTCGAGACAGCTGCTGCCAAAGCCCCCTCTCTAACAGGTGGAGGTGATGGCGTATCCTGGGCAGGCGCTGCATGACGCCACGTCCAAAACGCGGGACGCTCCGCAAGACTGAAGCGAGGCGGTGGAGAGCCTGGTAAAGTCTGCGCAGGGCAGGAAAAGAGTTAATGTAGTCCAGAATACGCCTGGCAGCCTGTCGGGTCAGCCCCGGGTTCAGGTAGGCGGTGGTCGTTAGAGCAATGGTGACGGTGAGCAGGAGGCCGTAGATGTTCAGTATGAAGATGCTGATGAACATGTGAACCAGCGAGACCAAGAAGTCCAACACCAGTTTACAGGGTGACCACAGGAAAGCCGAAGTCCCAACCAGACTGCTGTACAGAAAGGTGAAGGAAGTCAGCGTGAGCTCCAGCACCTTCTGCAGCGGGCTGGACACCGTCTGCCACACGCTGACCGCCGCCAGGTAGATGTTCTGAGCGGCAATGAGGGCATAGTTGACCACGGTGTTGGCGAAATAGACCACCAGGCTGACAGCGATGCCGCAGCCCTCCAGCACTGACAGCAGACCTCGACACAGGTGCTCCTTCCCACGAAGCAGGACGTGCATGGACAGGTAACCCACCATCTTCAGGCTCTCCAGCAGCCCCTCCAGAGCCAGCACCAAGCTCCCCAGCATGGTGACGCTCCCGTGGGCCACGTTTGACGTCGCTTCCGCCAGGGACATCAAGCCGAGCACGGTTAAGTTGCCCAGCTCCACCAGGGAGTTGAGGAGGAGGGTGGGCAGGCTGCTTATGAAGGCGACCACCGCCAGGACCGTCCGCACCACGCTGTGGACGATGACAAAGTTCAGGTCCAGCAGTAGGCAGACGGCGTCCAGGCATTTTCCTACAGTGGAGATGACAAAGTTCACCAAACCCATGGTAACTAATGGTTCACTGGAGGATTTCCTCTCGGTGCTCTCCGCTCGTCTCCAAGGCAAAGTCCATGTCTTGTTGGTTTCCAGTCGTTCGCTACATCGTGTTCAGATCGATGGTTAGTTACACCAGCCCTCGTTCCGGTCACTTTCTCATGTTTTCTTCATGTTTTGTCCGGTTGAAGCGACCAGCTAACGCAGTAAACACACACACGCGTTACACAGGCGGATGTTTATGTTCAAACGAGAGGCACACACTTCCGTTGGTTTTCCGGGTTTCGATGAGGCTGTCCGTTCAGATCTGGTCCGGAGACATTTGATCGGTTAAACGGTCTCTTTACAAAATGTGTGATCTTTAAAACCGACCCGTGAAACCGAAAGAGACGAGAGAAAAACTCACCGATAGTATGTTTATCGTTACCGTGGCCGCCATATTTGTTTTGGTCAGCTGACCTCATGACTTTCTTCCGGTGACGTTTGCGCAACATCCCAGAGCCGTTAGTTTCAAAAATATAGTAAAACATTAACGTATAAAAAATGATATATTAAAATATCATTTAAATACATATATACATATAATACAATTATAAATATTTTATAATATAAATTAAATACATATAAATTAAATACATATTTTTTACATTTACAGTCATTTATAAGAGTTCAGAAATGTTATGGAAATATTAATAAGTGTTAACACAGTTTAAATATGTGTTAAGCAAAATACGATTTTCACAATTTTGGTGAAAAATAAGCAGAAATGTATGTATTATTTTAATGATTGTACTGGAAAAATACCATATCCACTAATCTAATAATACATATTCAAATCTGTACTTTTATTAAAATCACTAAAATAGATAAATTATTGACAACATATATATTTAGCTATTAATTGCTTATTTTTCTGAAGGAAAGGGCTTTCTTTATTCTTAGAAACTCTCTGTGTATGTGTGTGTATTGTGTGTGTGTGTGTGTGTGTGAGAGAGAGAGAGAGAGAGACCTTTAATGCATCAACAGGGTTTTTCAATTTCCTGAGCTAATTCCATTTACATTAACACATAATAACTTGTTGAGCCATACTATCCCATTACCTCAGCCACTTCAGTGACAAAGAAACACAAAAGGTTCCTAATCCTGAACAATATCAACAGCATTTCCTTCCTTGCCTTGTGCCTCATCCTCCCCATCTGAGCTGTTCAGCAATGAGGGAAACTCCATCTGATATGATCATGGGAAATCCTGTTCTGAATCTTTGGACACTTGACAAACAGCATTTGTTTAAGCATTTAATGATGCAGCAGGGATACGTAGAGCAAGGAGCTATAAAAGGTCTTGTGCATTACTTTGTCTCTGGCACAGAGCTTCTAGACCTGCTCCTTTTATGGTAGCTAACCTTCCCTCTGGTCCATTAGCAGGCCAGTAGTCAGCTTCCTTTGTTTGTTTTCTGGTCAACTGAATCCTTCCTCTTTATATGACGAGATGTTACAATAGGCTGGCTTTTATCTGAAACTTTCTGCAGTCTTTTAGCATGGATACTAAACAAGTATGTGCTTTGCTCAACATCTTGGCCTCTTGGAAAGATGTTGGAGGCTGTTTAGTAGAACCGATATAACTTTTTTATTTTAACTTTTTGCTGGTACAACAACATCCTCGGCTGCCTCAAACTGTGCGGCTTTCAGATTTAACAGCAGTGTTGATTTTGCTTACTTCACATTCACTCAACAGTCAGCAGAAGTACCCAGTTCACCAGCCCGAGAGCCTCATTCCAGCTGAGACAAAGATTGGTTTCCGGATTGGCCATTTGTCAATGACGACAAGTCCCGCAATTCATCTTAAAGTTAAACCTGGAAGCTGTCTCTTCAGAGCTGTTTACTTAAACCATCTCAAAAATAGAGAGAAGCGTGCACAGGAAAAAACAGAGACAGCAGGACAAACCAACCCTTTGACGTGCTTCCCACAATTGGAGCTGAGGGCCCCACGGATGACTAGTTTGCAGCAATTGGCGAGTCCTCACCCGCTGGGTCATTTCCACCCTGTGAAGAAACATGAGCATCTGACGCACCCTTCCACCCCTTTGTCTGCTCTTCCACTCTCCAGAAACAACTCCTTACTGCTCTGTGTCAGCCGTGTGAGGAGATAAAGTTAATTGAGCAGTGTTCTCACAGCCACTCGCGTTGTTGAATTTCTCTAATGTACAGTAAAGTCTCTAAACTGCACAGCTGGCTTGTGGTGAGAAGTATGAGATGTGAGACTTTTGCAGAAATTAAAGCCAGACGAGAGTCCTGATATTCTGCAAAACCCTGAAATATGTTTAAAAACACATTTTTATACATTACATTTTAGTTGGTAGGTAACCAGTGGAGACTCTTGGGAGTCCCAGCCAAGAAATAGTCTGATACAACCCCTGTACACTTTGGTTTTCGTACAGAACTGGAAGCTGGCTATAGGTTCGTATTTACAGTAGAGATATGATCAGTCTTCTCATTTAACTCTCGGCAAGAAAGCAAATAAGAAACTTTCTCAAAATGTTCAACAATTTCTTTAAAGCCTCCACGCTGCCAGGGTAGAATTACTATTTAAATTTAGTTTAGTATCAAATTTAAATAACTTTGGTCTGAAAATGAGCACAATCAGTCTTCAAACTATTCTTTTAATGTTAGAGAAAGATTTGTGGTTAGAGTTAATGAAACCACAAAATAAATGTTACTGCAAGTTTGTGAGGGAACAAAAACTCTGCAAAAAAGCGTTTAAACAGCTTTCAACTACTGGATTACAGTTATGCAAATGAGTCTTCAAATGGTCAGAGGCAAACTCAGACACACTACAAGATAGTATTTTGTCTGTCCATACTGACCTATAACAATTCCAGACCAGTCTCCCCATAATCGACAAAATCTGTCATTGTAAGCGTGACTTAAATTGTGTTCCCAGGTTTTGTGGTTTATTTTGGGACTTAGGGGTTCAGATCCTCAATGATGTTTTTGGCTGCCAGCCAGTACACTGGCCTCACATAAATGTGCATTCAGAATACATCTCTGTGTGTTTATGTGTGCATGCACTTTAGAAAGAGGACAGAGGGTAGGCGGCAGACCAGAGCTTCTCTGGGAAAACACAAACTCCAAACAGTAGAAATCATTGGAGTGCAGACTGGTCGAGACCCAGAGCAAGACCCTGCATTCCCCAGAAACCCTCTGCCTCGAGCCTGCTGCCTCCACTACATGCTGAGTGGGCAAGAGAGGGAGTGATGGGAAAACTGAGAGAGAAAGGTTGGAATGAAGAGCGGGATAAAAGACTCATTCCAGATAAAGACACACAGTGATGATTTTACTGATGTGAGTCAGAGGCGTATGAATGGGATGACTAACTGTGAAGGTTCCCTCAGCGTGACATTCCTGCTCTTTGAGTTGTCTTCTCAGGACCTCGTCTGAGCATCTGCAGGATGTTCACGAGTTTGCAGGCAGTTGAAGCAGCTTCCTGCTTCATGACTCATCTCTCTCATCCGTCAAAAAAAAAGAAAAAAGCGCAGTGAGATTTTTTTTCAGTGATGTCTGAAATTGCTAAGTTAGTTTGTCCATCGACCCGAAAAGCTTAATTCATAATGATTTCAAATAGGGTTGCAACTTACAATTCTTTTCATTATTAATATATTTACTAGCTATTTTCTCAATTAATCTTCAAATTGCTTGTTTTTTCCAATCACATTTTAAAACCCACAAATATTCACTTAATTATCTTATTTGACAAAAAGGAGCTGAATTTGTCACATATGAGCAACTGGAACCATCAAACGTCTATAAAATCACTGAAAGAATTGTGATCGTTTTTTAACTACACAGGCTTTATTTTAATGAATGAAAGCTACACAACAGAAATCTCCTTCAGATCATCTAAAACAAGTGAAGGCCAATGTAGTAATAATGGTAATGGCGTCTGATGCAAATCACCTTTTTATTTTTTATCATTTTATTTATTTTTGCCTTTTTATCTGAT